CATGGAGCAACAAGATGCCAGCAGACCGGTAATGCCACAACCACGTGGCAACTTATGGATGAACAGAAATGGGTTAAGTTATAAGAGCTAGCTATCAAGAAGCCTGCCATAGGCCATACAGTTTGTAAATAATATTAAGCCTCTGAATGATTATTTTATAAGTGGCCAAGGGACTGCAGGGCAGGGTGGGACTAGAGAAACCTTCTGGCTACATTAATGTCCTTCAGTGAGGTACTGGAAAAATAAAATACTTCATTCAATTATCTTAAGAAATAAACTAAATTCATGTGTCCAACTATCAGTATGGGTAGATCTTAAGAATACAAGTTCAGGGGAGAAGTAACAAGAGATTGGAAATGGAGGATAAAGAGAAGAACATCCAAGCAAAATAGAAAAATAATAAGATACAGTCGGATTACATTTAGGCCCCTCCAAAAGAGGTTGAAGCAGTAGGAAGAGGGATAAGCTAGAAAAACAAAATCTCTCCATTATGATGCCCAGAGGGCAGAGTGCTGTGGACAACCTACGGAATTAAGACTCAGCTCCAACATCAATAGTGTTAGCAATTCTGACGTCTGTTCCTTTACCCAAAATAACTTTCCCAAGAGCCTTCATGTCCTGCTTTGTTCACATCTCACAGGGAGCTGGTGCCATAGCTTTCAATATTACCCTGGTTCTACCAGCGAAAGAAATAAAACGAGGGAGGTGGGTGACTGTATTAGCCACAACACCGCCAAAGTGGAAGCTGAGATCTGGTTCCGGAATCCCCTTTCACCAGTTCACCAGCCATCTCTGGGTGAGCAGTCGGGCCACTCAAGGCAGCACTTCTAATGACAGGAGGGTTAGCAGAGCGTATGTAGAGTGGCTGCAGGTGGCACATTGGAGACCATGGTCCCTGAGAAGGAAACAGGGCAACACCTGTGTTGGTGGACAGAGAAATTACTCTTCCTGCCAGGGAAAGAGGACAGGAGTCAATCAGTGAGGTGGGACCAAGGGGCTTGGCTGGCTGGGCAGGACATACATATGTATTTGGGCCCTGCTGCGTCAGGGACCGGGTGACTCTGGGGACGCTATGACGGACTTAGGTTATTAATAGTCTGTAGACTACCACGAAGGAAAGTATAGAGACCAAACCTAAAACTAAAGCTCTAAGAGGAACAGACCCAGGGATGGAGCCCAGGACCTTGAACATGTCAGGCAAGTGTTCTCCCCGAGCTACATTCTACCCACTGTGATTGTAGCGCCTTTTATTTGACTAAACAAGTGGTATGCATGCTAGCCTTAATACCATTGAAAAATTAATTTTGAAAAAAAATTTAGAATCCCTTCATAACCAAAGAAGTAGATTATTTGACTTTAAAAATGAATTTTAAGGAAGCACACAGGAGATGTCTCAACAGTCAGCAAATTCATGGCTGCAGGCAGAACTATTTGGTTCTGTGATCCTCAATTACACAGAAACACTAGTCCGTGTTTGTGAATAAGGGAGTGATGTCTTCACGTAGGTTTTAGAAATCATAATGAATAGAAATTTGAACTGAAAGATCAAAGGTGCAAATCCAGAAATTCCTTCCCAGACAGAAGTTACCCAAGGTCATTCTCTGAATATGAATCATACTGTACTTACCTTAGTTACCTGAATCCCTTAGCTATCCTTTTATTCATAAAATGTAATTGCAGTACTACGAAAATAACCAAAGTGTCTGATACACAGGCA